CATGGAGCCAAGTGGGACTGTCACCTCCCTTATTTTACACACTACACCTCTGTATCTATTAATATAACTTTGATTGCAACAGCTTTTGGTTGGCAGCCACATCCTGCAGTTACTCATGCTGCCAACCTCAAACCCTAAACTTTCCTTTAAAATTGCCGTCGAGTGTATCTTCCCTAATGTTCTAACACAGGATCTCATGCTCATTCATATTAGATTCTCAGGTCCAGGCTATTTCTCTGTTTTTCAGGATCATTTTGGATTCTTGTTCTGCATTCCTTTGAATTGAATGCAGACCTCTGTGGACCACAAAACAACCATAAACATGCTATCTGGTGTCGAACTACATCAAAAAAATTTATTAAGCATACATAATGTGCACAGCAATAGAAGGGGTAAAAAGAAATCAGCAATAACTAAAAACAATGTGACTGTTGATTGTAGGCTTCTGGAAAATAAGAACTAAGCCTTACATTTCCACCCCATAGCATCCTGAGGTAGTGAACATATAGTAGATGCTTAATAAATATCTGATTTGGCCTCACCTGCGTAAACAAGCATCAGGCTTAAAGAGCCAGTTCCCTTAAGAGATGACATAATTAATAATCAAATGTATGAACAACTTTATAAGATCATTAGCTATCAAAGAATGAAAACTAAAATAAAATGAAACCTCTCTAAAAATAATGAGGTAAGTGCTACATCATGCTGGCAAGCCCATGGTGAAAACTAGTGTGTTTATACATTGCTGATGACATTGTAAAATACTTTTGAAAAGCAATTTGGCAAAATGTATCAGGAGCCATAAAAATGTTCACATCCTTGATTCAATAATCTCACCCCTGGGAATTAAGCCGAAGGAAATCATCCAAAAGAAGGGAAACCCTATAGCACAAGGAAACTCATTGCCCTCTTATTTGTAGCAGTGAAACATGGGAGCATCATGAATGAACAATTCAAGAATAATTAAATCATGGTATATCCACTAGATGGACATGGATGAAACCCTAAACATGACAGCTATGAAGTCCATTATATAACAACTAGAGGCCCGATGCACAAAATTCGTGCAAGAGACTCAGCCCTTACAGCCCCTGCTTTGTCCGGAAGGTCATCCAGAAGGTTGTCCGGATGGTTGTTCCATTGTTCCTCCACCCGGTCTAATTAGCATATCATGCTTTTATTATTATAGATGTGGGAAATGCATCTGCACTAATATTAAGCAAACACACACACAAATGCAAGGTTTAAAAGAAAACTGGATTATTGAAAATAATTAACTTTTTTAGAAAAGTGAAATGATGAGTAATGTCATTGTATTTCCTGATGGTTTATCATGTTTGAGCAACATAAAGAATTTGAAATAATCATCTATTGAAAGAAGGAGAAAAGGATAATGTTATGGGCTAAACTGTGTCTCTCCCCTCTCCCAAATTCCTGTTGAAATCCCAACCCTAGTACCTTAGAATGTTAAACTGTATATGGAGATCAGGGCTTGAAAGAGGTGCTTAGGTTAAAATGAGGCTGTTAGGGTGGACTCTGATACAAGATGAGTGGTGTACTTATAAGAAGAGAGAAAGATGCCAAGCACCTGCATGACCAGAGAGACCATTTCATCACGTGGCAGCAAGACGGTGACCATCTACACACCAAGGGGAGAGGCCTCAGCCCAACTCTGCCAGCACCTTGATCTTGGACTTCCGGTCTCCAGAATTGTAAGAAAATAAATTCCTGTGATTGAAGCCACCCAGGCTGTAGTATTTTATTGTGGCAGCTCTAGAAACCTAAAGCAGACTGTAACAGGCAGCACAGCCAGGCAGGGCTCATGGCTCTCCATATCCAAGGGTCTGATAACCAGAAGACTGGGTGCATTGGACTGGTCCCTATTGACCCCTCAGCTGTCCCCAGGACCACAGATAATCTAAGGAGGTTCCCTTTGCCACCATCAGCCCAGTGAGTGGAAGGTCAGGGGGTTGTTCTCAGACTGTCTGCAAATTAGAAACACCCAGAAATGGGTCGGGCCTTGGAATCTGCATCTCTAACCACTTTGCCCCAGTTCTGTTTTAGTGACATAGTTGTGCTGAGAGCTGTAGGATGATTCAAGTTCATCATCCCCCTGGCTTTTGGGTTTCTTCTCTATTCTCCGTTAACTTCTTCTATCTCTGCCAGCAAACAGAGGTCCCAGGTGGTCAGAATGTCCTGTTGGGCCTTCAAATCCAATCTGACTTAAACATCCAAAGGGTAAGCAATCCCACTTCCAAAAGAATGGAAAGCAGGGACCTGAATAGATATTTGTCCACGCACTGAGGTTCGTAGCAGCATTGGTCACAACAGCCAAAAGGTGGATGCAACCGTGTCCATTAACGCATGAATGGATAAGCAGAAAGTGGTATATACACACAAAGGCATATTATTCAGCCTTAAAATGGAAGGAAAGGCCCAGCCAGCATGACTCAGTGGTTGAGATTGACCTATGAGCCAGGAAGTCACGGTTGGATTCCCAGTCAGGGCACACAAGGTTGCGGGCCCAGTCCCCAGTGTGGGGTGTGCAGGAGGCAGCCGATCAATGATTCTCTCTCATCATTGATGTTTCTATCTTTCTCTCCCTCTACCTTCCTCTCTGAAATCAATAAAAATATATACCATATACTACAACATGGGTGAACCTTGAGGACATTATGCTAAGTGAAGTAAGCCAGGCACAAAAGGACAAATACTGTAGGATTCACTTACCTGAGGTTCCTAGAGTCATCAAATTCATAGAGATAGGAAGCAGAATGATGGATTCCAGGGGCGGGGGCTGGGGAAACGGGAGTGAGTGTTGAAAGGGGACAGAGTTTCTGTTTGGGAGAATGGAAAACAGTTCTGGAGATGATGTTGGTGATGGCTGCACAACAATGTGAACGCACTTCACACCACAGAGTTGTGCATTTAAAAGGGTTAGGATGGCTTTATGTTACGTCTGATTTACTACCATTGAAATCATTTCTAAGGGGAACTAACGAGGAGAGCTGGCGTGGAATGGGGCAGGAAGATGGACTAAGCCTCACTGGATCTGGGGACTGGCCCCCTGGGGTGAGGGTGGGGCTTAGGGGAGAGTCTGGTGGGGTCCAAGCGAGCGCTCCAGGCCAGCATTACTCAGGCTCTGCCAGTCCCACCCAAGGCCAGATGATACATGGGCCACCTGGGAGCCACTCAGGCGGGCCCAGCTCAGCTTTCACAACCGAGGTTTCAGGACCTGGCCTGGGGCCCGTGGGCTGGAATCTGCTTTCCTTCCCTCATCTACTCTGCCCTCAGTTATCTAGGTGGAGGGGCCTGGGGCTGGCCCAGCTCTCTGGCGGCCTTTTGGCCCTCTTGGAGGAGGAGTGTGGCCTGGGAGCTCTTAAAACTGCCCGTTCCTCTGGGGTTTAGCGGATAAGGTTCCCAAGTCCCTCTCTAAGGAGGAAAAACAAACAGCTGAGAGCAGGCGGCTCCAGCTGTGGGACACGTTCCAAGACCGAGAGGGAAAATAACTATTCCGGCTCCAAACGCCTAGTTAAGTGGAAGGCAGCGGCCGCCGGAAGGAATGGCAACTTCTCCACAACCTCCGGTTTTACCAAGAAAATCTAAAACTCCATCCTCGAGAGGACGTGTGTGTTACTTCATCATCTGCCATGTGGTGCCACCGCCCTTTTTGTGGATGTGTTTGTATACCATGTGCCCTCACAGCAGGCACCATAAAACCCACATGGCCAGGCGGTGACACAAATGGGAGGAACCGAGAAATGCCTCAGGACTGGTCTTCGTTGTGGAAAACCGCCCCCCTTCTCCCTCACCACCTGGTGCCTCAGTTTCACCAACCGACTTCCTGCCCAGAGGCCCTGCGGTGTGGTGGAGAGAACAGTGCCCTTGGGCAGACCCAGCCACAGGCCCGTTTTGATCACATGTGAGCGGAGCCCCTCCCGCCTGGCCCTGACTCTACTTTTCAGCTGATCTGCGTTCCCCAGTGGGGCAGGTGGAAACATGTGTGAGCAGTGGGCACCTGTGCAATGAGCTTGACTAGGAAACAGAGTCTGAATGCAGCTCAGACCCTTACCCCCTGTGCCATTTAAATGAACACCTGCCAGGCTGGTGTGGCGCAGTGGTTGAGCATCAACCTATGAACCAGGAGGTCAAGATTCGATTCCCGGTCGGGATATATGCCCTGACAGCGGCTCATTCCTCAGTGTGGGGCATGCAGGAAACAGCCGATCAATGTTTCTCTCTCATTATAGATGTTTCTATCTCCCTCTCCCCTCCTCTCCGGAATCAATAAAAATATTTAAAAAATAAAAAATAAATGTAACGAACACCTATTCACCTGTGAGAATGATCAGTCTCACTGGGCCTCGATCATCTTATCTGTCAGTGGGGATGCTGGTATCTACCTCACAGCACGGTGAGAAGACGCAGTGGAATAGTGATGTGAAATACAATACTCCTATGATGTAGTGGTGGCCTTGGTGGCGAGGGTGGGAAGGTGGGGGCCTTGGGCACTACAAATGGGGCAGCTCGGGAATCAGGCCATGGTTGCCCTGCGATAAGTCAGAGTGTGGAGAAGGCAAGAAGAATGCCGATTGGCAGTAATACTAGTACATAACTCCCCCTCCTGACCTCCTCCTGTCTGACCATGTCCCTGGGGAAACTGTTATGCTCACGGGGACTGGAGTGGGATGGGAAAACCCCCTGCCTGACAGTGTTTCAGGTCTGCATCCTCCACTGCACACAGCCTGGGAGGGTGGACTGCACACAGCCTGGGAGAGGGTGGGTGGTGGACATGGGTGTGGCTCCAAAGAGGAGCTGGGGGCTGCCACGGATGGGATGCTGCCCCCACCAGGAAAGAGGTGCACTGGGGGAAGTGATGGAGCTGGAGCTGGTGGGCCGGTGGGACTGCCATGCGTGAACAAGGTCTGAGGGCATCAACAGGGTCCTGAGCAGAGACCCAGGAAAGTACAGAAAACACATTCAGCTTGTGGATTCCTCACGGTGAGACCTGGGCTGAGAGTAACCGTACTCGCTGGCTACTTCTGCGCCGAGTCCTTGCAACAAGGCGCGGCAAGGAGGGGAGGGCTTGGCACTGCCAACTGGAGGCCAACCCCGGGTCTGAGGCAGTGACACCAACACATTTGGTGCCATTGAATCGCCCATGTCTGGACTTTGATGAGAGCCAGAACTTGGAGGTGCCAGGAACACATCGCCTACCCAGGACCTGGTCCAGGCCCAGCCTTGGGAGGAAGCCTTGCCCCCATCTCACCTCCTGTGCCAAGCAAGCCTTATGCCCAGGCTTGGGGACAGCCCAGCGTGTACACTCCCCTCATTCTGTCTTCTGTCTTCTGACCATCTCCCCCAGCCCCTGCAAACAGCTCCTGCTCTGCCACTCCCAGCCAGCAATGGGATCTGCCCTCAGCAGGATGACCCAATGGACCCAGAAGAAAGCTGGGCCCAGAAAGAGGACTGTTCTCTTAGTCCCAAGGACTCTGCCTTATGGGATAGGATGGGATAGGATGGGATGGGGTTAGATGAGGGACCGAGTGGGGCCCTCTAAAGTATGGGGACAGGGATGATGCTGATTCCCCCCCTCCCTTGAATATATATTAAGAGATACTGTCTATGCACTCACTCCATCAATCCCATTGAGATCTGTGATAAAAATGCTTATTTGAGTGCTTAGCTTCATGAGAAAAACAACAGGTTAAAGTAGACTAGGCGGCTTAGTTTATAGCCCACTCCAAGCACTAGCTAGTATCATCATAGTGTGCTGTGATGCCTTCCCGAGAGGAATGGTCTGGGCTTAAAGACACTGTCCCAGTCCAGGGCCACCACGTCACTCAGAGGATGGCATCAGGAGCCCCACATACCGATGAGCAAACTGCAGCTCAAAGAGGTTATGTAATTTGCCCGAGGTCATAGAGTGAAAATGGCGCAGAATGTAATCTAGGCTAATGTGGACCATACAAAGGTATTCAAATATAGTCCCTGTCCTCCCAGAGGTCAGCTTAGTGGGGAGTCAGGCATAGAAACCACCAGCCTTTGTATAAGAGCAAATGAAAGACGTGAGAAATGAATGCAGAAGAAGAGCTGTGTGAGAGCAGGTGCCACGTTTTTTTCTGGGACAGACTTTTTCAGGGCTGACGGGATTTCGAAAGCCTCATCCAATAATGGTCAACCTGGAGTCCCTGATATAATCTCTAAAGAACCCCAAAGTAGACTTGGGTTTTCCAGGTAGAACCACTGGTAACCATTGATATGCCAAATGATCAGGTCCCAAGGCCCTTAGGGGTGAGGCCTCCTGCCCAAGGGCACACAGCCAGTGTCAGGGCTGGGACCTTGAGCCAAAGGCCAGGCCACCAGTGCGGCGATCTGTTCTCTCCGGTGCAGCTGCTGACGTGCTCATGGCCACATGGTAAGGCAGGAGAAAGAGCCCATCTAGAATGTGAGTGCATCCCGCCAGACAGCCAGAGGGCTGTGCGGGTGCTCAGGAGGGGGAGCTGGGACAATGGAAACAGAGCCTTCCTCTTCCCCGTGGGTGTGGTGGTGGTGGTGGTGGTGGTGCATTATTTATACTTAAATGCTTCTGTCTATTGTGATGCTTGACATCTTAAAAAATCTTCCTTGCTGGGAGAAACGGCCCCTCCCTGGGCTAGCCAACTCTTAGAGATAGCAAGGAGCCCCGTCCTAGCATGACTTTGATATGCAAACTAACCAATTCAGAGCTGCACCTTCTCTGTCCATCTGTGCACCCCAGGAGGCAATTTTTCTCTGTCCTAATCATCCCAGCGCTAAGTGCCAGGTACCAGAGGCCACCCCAATAGCCCAAAACCCACCCAAAGTCTTCAAACTCGCCAATCCTAAACGGGTTACTCTGCACTGCCTTGCCTCGTGGAAACCCCAGTAAAGGCCTAAGTGCACCTCTCATTCTGTCTTCTGCCTCCGACCACCCTGGAGCTTCCCCGTGTGGCCCTGCGTGGTAGCCATGCCTCCTGTCTCCAGGTCCTGTTGGAACAATGCATTCTGTTGACCTGAGCCTCTCTTCTCTTTCCTCTTGTGGCAGCACCTGACTAAGCATCTCATGAAAGAATACAAAACAGGGAAGTCCCCTACGATGCAGCGGAAGAGGAAGCCCACAGTGCTTTTTCCCTCTCAATGCTTTTTTAAAAAAATATATATTTGTATTGATTTCAGAGAGGAAGGGAAAGGGAGAGAGAGATTGAAACATCAATGATGAGAGGGAATCATTGATTGACTGCCTCCTGCATGCCCCCTACTGGGGATCGAGCCCACAACCCGAGCATGTGCCCTTGACTGGAATTGAACCTGGGACCCTTCAGTCCACAGGCCACCGCTCTATCCACTGAGCCAAACTGACTAGGGCCCTGTCAATGCTTTTTATCAGGAATGGCTTCAAGCGTTCTTTCATTCCTTGGCACATGAGAGTGAATAGTGTTCCCCTTTAAGGCCATGCCTACCTGGAGCCTATGAATGTGGCCTTGTTCAGGTAGTGTCTTTGCAGATGTCCTCAAATTACATAAGGTCATACTGGATTAGAGTGGGCCAAATACTGTATTATCTCACTGTTGTGTGAAATCTAAAAAGTCAAACTCATACAAGCAGAGAGTAGAATGATGGTTGCCAGGGGTTAGAGGGAGGGAGAAGTGGGGAGATGTTGGCCAAGGTTACAAAGTTGCAGTTATTCAAGATGAATACGTTTTGGAGATCTACAGTATGGTGACTATATTTAATAATACAGTCATGTACCACGTAACATTTTGGTCAACAACAGACCGCATGTACGATGGTGGTCCCATCCTATCTAATAAAAAGCTAATATGAAAATTGTCCCCTCGATCGGGAGTTCCACCAGGAGTTTGACCAGGGGGTGGGGCTAGCTGGCCAACCAGGGGGTGGGGCTAGCTGTCTCCTCTCCCTGGCCGGCCAGGCCCAATTGGCCCCGATTGGGGTGGGCCAGCTGGACCCCATCCATGCACGAATTCGTTCACTGGGCCTCTAGTAAGATTATAAGGGAGCTGTAAAATTTTTATTGTCTAGTGACATTGTACTGTCATAGTCTTACACATTCCTCACATGTTTGTGGTGATGCTGGTGTAAATACACTTACTGCGCTGCCAATCCTGTAGAAGGATAGCACATATGCCCTGGCTGGGTAGCTCAGATGGTTGGAGTGTCATTCCACACACTAAAAGGTTGCGGGTTCAATTCCCGGTCAGGAACACACTTAGGTTGAGGATTTGATCCTCAGTTGGGGTGTGTACAGGAGGCAACCAATCAATGTTTCTCTCTCACACCGATGTTTCTCTCTTTCCCGTTTCCTCTCTTTACACTATATAAACATATTCTTGGGTGAGGATTAAATTTTCAAAAAAAGTGTAGCACATGTGTATGGTGCCAAATGGGCACTGGACTTATCAGGGGATAATGATAATGACAATCATAAAGGACTATGTTACTGGTTTATGTAATTACTAGACTATATTTTATTGTTATTTTAGAGAGTATTCTTCCTAGTTATAAAAAAAGAGTTTGCTGTAAAACGGGATACCGTGTTGTGCTGGCAGCAGCCTCAGACATATGTTCACCGCGTCTCTTGATTGCATCATTTTGTTTTGTGCTGGGTTTAATTTCGTGTTTTGTACAGTAGCATGTTGTACAGGCCTGTAGCCTGAGAGCGATAGGCTATGCCTTATAACCTAGGTGTGCAGTGGGCTATCCCATCGAGGTTCTTGTAAGTGCACTCTATAATGTTCGCACAATGAAATGACGCATTTCTCAGACCGCATTCCCATCATTAAGCGGTGCATGACTGCGCCTTGTATTGTATGCTTGAAATCTGCTAAGATTTTACATGTTCTCACCACACACACACACACACACACACACACACACACACGATGGTAACAGTGTGATGTGATGGTTATGTTTATTGGCTTGATTGTGGCAATCACTTTACAATGGATGCATATATCAAAGCATCACATTGTACACCATAAATATATATAAATATTATTTGTGAATTATAAAGCTGGGCAGGGGGGAGATAAAAGAAAAACAGTTTAAAGGGAAACTTGGGGCATTTGACCGACTCCCTTTACTCCCAAATGATGCCTTTACTGCCCAAGAAGCTAGAAGTTATAAAAAACAAACAAAACAAAAAAACTTAGCAAAGCTGTGCGCTTCAAGAGCCAAGGGAGGCGCCAGAGAGCATGTGTCTGTGTCTGAGTGGCATCTGGGACCCCTGAGGAGGGTGTGCAGGAAGACAGGCCTTCCCAGGGGAGCAGGAGTTTAGGGGGATCTGGAGCCTTTGAGTTCAGGTTCCCATTTGGCTAGAGAGGCCTGGGAAACCCTGAGCAGGACACGTCCCCGCCCTGGGCCTCAGTTTCATTTACAACTGCTGAGGCCAGAGCTAATCCTTCCCAGCGCTGGTTTTATTTGCCGTTCAGCCTCTCCCTCGCTGGGCGCCCTCGGGGTTCTGGCCCAGCTTCTCCTTGTCTGTGGCTGGAGTGCGCTCTAGCCCCTGCCTCCAGGGAGCCCTGTTGGCAGCATCGGAAACCAGGTGGGGGCAGCACCATCACAGGCTGGGAGAGGGAGTAAGGAAAGCCCTGCTTGCTCACCTGGGAGGGAGCTGGTGGCTCTAGAGCAGTCACACGGGTGATGTGTTCTCAGGGTTACAGAAGGATTCCTGTGGCTTTTTAAAAGGGCGGTTTTATTAAAACACCAAGGACATTAGAGGAAATTGACCCCAGTTGTTTTCCTTTCTCCAAGTTCCTTCTCCCCTCCCTCCCTGTGCCTGTATATCTGCTTGCATAATTGCCCTCGGACTGTACACACGCAAGGGAGCAGTCTATCTTCCCTTAACATCGTTTCATAAACATCTCCCCACGTTGCTCCACAGTTTTCACTGGGAAAGGCTGTGTAATATTCCCTTGTGTTGATTCGATATCATTTAGCTAAACAACCCCCTAAGGCAGCGGTTCTCAACCTGTGGGTCGCGCCCCTTTGGCGGTTGAAAGACCCTTTCACAGGGGTCGCCTAAGACCATCCTGCATATCAGATATTACAGTGATGAAGTAGCAACGAAAATAATTTTATGGTTGGGTCACAACATGAGGAACTGTATTTAAAGGGCCAGAAGG